GATGGATGGATGGATGGATGGATTTGTGGATGGATGGATGGATGGATTTGTGGATGTATGTATGTATGTATGTATGTATGTATGTATGTATGTATGTATGTATGTATGATGGTTGTTTCAATGGATGGATAGCCCTGGATGAAGTAGTCTTCTCATCTGTGGGATGGAGGCCATAAGACAGCTGCCATGATTCTAGGGATGGAAGTGGGTGCCACAGTTTCTATGCCTGGTCTACATTCAGTGTTTACTTTGTGTTGATGACCACTGTAATTATTATTGATCTACTTTTTAATTTATTTACATGTATAATGCTATGGGTCAGATCCAGGGCCTAGTGCAGGGTCAACAATGCTTTGCCTTTGAGTCACACTCTCTACTCTAGCCCATCAGGCTGCTGTGTAACTCCTGTAGGCACAGGAAGAAAAGGAAAAGAGAGCCAAGACGAGGGAAAGACCAAAAGGATCACAGGCACATAAGCGATGGCTCACCTAGAGACTGTAAATATGGAGAGAGACAGAGACCGATGGTGACTGAGGGAGTGGAGAGAGAGTCTGAGCTCTGACCGCATCCCCTTCTGTGACACAGCGGCAAGCGCCCTTGACTCAAGATCTAATGGGTAACTTTTCGAGGATCTTGGCCACACCAGGCTCTCTCCAGACCTGTTTCCACTCCCAAGTCTAACAGTGCTGGGTGAGAAGGGAACATCAGGAATGACTCCCCCTGCAGGTCTCACAAGTCTGCCCCTAAGAGACCCCAGCACAGGTCCCCTGCCAGCAGCTTGAGGTCACTTCAATGGCAGAATACTGCTCCTGACTCTTGCTTGGGTTCTGGGTTGGGTATGTTTGGCAGCTCAGCACAGCCTCTTGATGTCTGTCACTACATCACACTGGGACCTCAACAAGGGAGGATGATGCTCTGGCCATTACACCAGAGCACCTGAGACAAGAAATGTGTCTCTGTCACACTTCTTCTAAGGCCAGGGGTCCTGCTTTGTCTTCAAATTGGGACCCTTCTATCAGACTTGTATCTTCCTCGTGCTGTTCCTGGAAAGGACTGGAAGCAACTATCCACCTCACCCATCTGCAGTGCTGAGGACTCAGGGGGACTCATTTTGCAAAGACTACCTGCCTCCTCCTCCCCAACCCACGGTCTCTTGTAGCCCAAACTGGCTTTCAACTCATTGTGTAGCTAAGGATGCCCTTGAATTTCTGATCCTCCTGCTCTCCCCTCCCAAGTTCTGGGTGAGATCACAAGTGTCCCCCACCACACCCAGTTTCTCAAGCTATTTCTAGTCATTTTTCAAGTAACTGGCCCTCAACCAGGAGCAAAGTCTTAACCAGATGAGCTGTCAGAAATGAGGTCGCTGGACAGGCTTCCCTTCCCCCGAGCCTCATCAGAAGGACTCAGGGCAAGAGTAGGAGGTCTGGTGGGGAGCACTTAATGTCTGGTGCTCTAAGGTGGGATCCATGGGTGGGGCTGCTAAAGCTTCGGATCCTCAAGGAAGGTTTCTTACTGATTTTGCTCTGCCGGTAGACTCCAACCTAAGGTACTTGGAACTCTGTTTGGCCTTTTGTTTGTTTGTTTGTTTGTTTGTTTGTTTTTAACTCACACCATGGCTCACAGGAACCTTTTTCATCATAGAGCTGAGAAGTTAGGATCTAGGGTTCCTGAGGTATAGGTTTGAATCCTGACTCATTCATTGGTTAAAATATGAATAGCAACCAGTCTCAGGACTGTAGAGGGCTCAGCCCTCTTGTGATCAAGTCACTATAGACCTGGTTGCTCAGGTGTCTCCCCAGGGCAGGATCTCCTGTTTGTTTTTTATTAGTGTGTCCCAAGTGAAGGAACAGTACCTGGTGTACGCCCTGCACTAGGTACATTGGTCCTCTGGAGTGCCGCCTCCAGAACAGGAACCTTGTAGAACTTTAAGGAACAAAGGGGTTTTTTATGAAGTCCTGCTGCATCTTTCCAGGGAGTCCCTGATGCACAGAGACAACCATTTCCAAGACTGAGTGGAGACAAGGGACCGTAGTCAAAGTGTGTGAAGAAATCTTTCCCACAGGCAACCACGGACTTCCAGCAAGGTGTGCAGGCTGGTCCCATCCCTAAATCTCCTAGCTTTGGCTGCACACAGAAGTCCCTTTGGCTTCTGGAAGAACAAAACCACCCAATTTGCCAAAGCTGACACTATCCAGGTGACAGGGACCAGACCTCTGATCCTGGGTAACAGTGTACAAGCCTACCTCGGCACAGGTGGCACATCCCCAGAGGGCTTAGATGAACTATGGGGGAGTTTCTTATTGGGGACAGAGGACAGGGGAGGTCAACTTGTACTGAGAATTGTTCCCCTTTCCCCCACAGATCCCTCCCAAGACCCCAGAGCCATGAGGATGAGAGGGCCTCTGAGGTCTGTATAATTCCACCAGGATCTGCTCATGTGGTGCGTATGTGTGTGTGTGTGTGTGTGTGTGTGTGTGTATGTGTGTGTGTGTGCATAAGTGTATATATGTTTGTGTCTGCGCATGCATGTGTGTGTGCATGCAAGTATGCATGTGTGCATGTGTGTCTGTGCATGCATGCATGTGTGTGTACATGTGAGTGTGCATGTGTGCATACATGTGTGTCCGTTTGTATGTGTGCGTATGCATGTGTGTGTGAATGCATGCATGCACGTGTGTGTGTGTGTTTGCTAATGAATGTGTGCACATGTGTGCGGAGGCCAGAGGCTGCTGCTGAGTGTCTTCCTTAGTCACTTTCTCCCTTAGTCCCTGGGACGTGACTGTCACCGCACCTGGACCTCACCATGTCCATCAGGCTGGCTGGCCAGTAAACTCCAGGGATCCCTCTGTCTCTGCCTCCTCAGTGCTGGGACTCCAGATGTGCACCACCCCAGATGTGCACCACCCCAGATGTGCACCACCACCCCTGGCATTTTCCCTCGGGGCTAAGGCTCTGACCTGCACCCTGCTCTTTAAGCTTACAAGACAAGAGCTCTACCAACTGAGCCTTCTCCCTGTGCCCACCTCTGCTCTTCAGCTAACAGGTTTTGATCATAACAACTTTGTCAAGTTAGTTATTAATATATTGCCTAAGCAAAAAGAAGGGCAAGAAAACTAATGTCTACGCGACTCCATTCTGCGCCAGGCTGCGCTAGAAGGCCATCCAAGCACGGATCACGGCAAGTTCTCGCGAGTAGGGTAAGGACAGGCCCTGTAAATGGGAAAAGCTGAGTTCCCAGATGCGCACTGGCCCCGGAGCAGCAGAAGGAGGCTCTCAGCCTCTAAAGTCTACACCTTCTCCCGCACACCACAGCTGTTCAGATCAGTTTACTTCCCCTGCCAAGCCTGTCTCCTGCAGACAGGAGGAAGAGGGAACACCAGGTGGAGGCAGAATAAACTCCCTCTCCCAGGGGGCTTTTGGGAGCGTATTGTAGCTACAGAAACAAACCCATCAGCTCCCCGAAATCACTCAGACTCCAAACATCACGTCTGTTCAACAAACCCACCAAGTACCACTCCGAGTTCCGTGCTGTCTCTCCACCTTTCTCCAAAGCCATGACTCCATCAGGCTATGGGTGACAGAGCCAGACACCAACTGCACATGAGCAAACCTGAGATCCTAAGGTCTAACCTGAGCAGAGATCCTGGCCCAGAACCTAGGCATCAATTCTCTCTACCAATAGGAGAGATCCCTTCCTCCTGGTGGTTGGTCACGCCTGACAACAAGGGAGGCGTGGAGTGCTGACTGGATCTAGAAAGAACTCTTGGTTCTAGGTTCAAACCTGCACCAGCCATCTCCTGCTCACTGTAGGAACGTGCCTGGGATCGAGCTCAGAGTGGCACGTGGGGCCAACAGCAGATCCTATAACCAGTCCCTGCCGACCTGGAGAGAATGGCCAACTGTCCCCCACCTCCAGAAAGAGCAAGATCAACCCAGAGCCATGATCACAGACACAAGGCCAGGGAAGGAAGAGCAGATATCTGCTTCCCACTCAAACTCTCTCAGGGTTCTGAACAGCCAGGGGCTTCCTGAGATTTCTGAGTTCTTAGTTACCCTCATCCCACCCCGAGTGGGAGAGAGCCAATCTGCGTTACCCTGAGCCCCTCTAGTTGGGGCAGCAGGCGTCTGGAGTGCAGAGGCCACTTACCTGAGGAGACAGGCCATTGCTGACAGGGTTCATGTGGTTGGAGGGGGCCCCGGGATTCATGAAGCTGTCCGAGTAGCTGGAGAAACTGTGGCGGGCTCCGTAGGCAGAGCTGGTGTCAGCTGCTGCAGCGGCTGCAGCCAGCCCACCCTGATGCATGGTTGATGGTGGAAGGGGCTGGGGCCTGTGGACTGTGCTGCTCCCATCTGAGGAGAAACCCAGAGAGGTCCTAAGCAAGTAGCAAAAGCAGCCTTGAAACTCCACCCAGGCATACCCTCTGGAGGGAAGGGACCAGCTTCTCAAGTGACTTGGGCTGAGGGCATCTTGTTCCCAGGCACCCCTACAGAGTGGCCAGGGCTTGACTGACACCCACTTGACACCTAAGTGACCTCTAGGCAACCTGCACACGGGTCTTGATGCTTGGCGTTAGGCATATAGTAGATGCTCAATGAACACTAGCTGGATTGTAAGTTGTGCCTGGTGGGATCTATAATCCACCCAGGCTTGCCCTAGTATCATTTTGTGGGTCCCTATCCAGTGCTGTCACTCATGCTGAGTGAGTCTTAACTTTGGGGGATGAAGAGGAATCGGGGTGACCGAGGATCAGTTGGCTAGGCTAGCTAGAGTCAAGGCTGATGAGTGAACCATGCTTGAAATGACTGAACTCGGTCATTCCTCTGCTTTGTTAGGAAACTGCACAGCCCTCTGAGGCCAGCTCCCCACTGTCCTCGGCACTGGCTTACTCCTTATTAAGAATCAAGGCCAAGGCTCTCTGGATACTTAGCTTCCCCAGAATGCCAGCCCCTGGGCCCCAGGAGGTAACCCTGTGTAGCAGGTATCAAAAGGTTTCCTGTGTGGGAGCAAGATGGGAGTTTCAGACTCCTAGGGCAGGAAACCTTTACTTCCCAAGGCCCATGGGTAGCCTGGGCTCTCTCCCTACCACCTCCTTCCGTTGACATTTCCCTTATTCAGGCTGTGTGGCATCCTAGAAGCTACTGGAAGAACTGTGCCCAGAAGATCTGCCTTCCTTGAGGGGTTGCAATGGCCCATGGGAGCCCAGGGTGCAGGGCCGGGGAGGGGGAAGAGGAGCTCGGCTCTTCAGCCTCAAGTGACCAGGAGTTCCAAGGTCAGGACAACTGGACTACACGGAGTTTGATAGCAGACACTCACCTTGGGAGATGGTGGTGGTGGGGTAGGTAGAGTCCGGCAGCTGGTAGGGTGGCAGCGTGGGCATGCCAGTGGGTGGGAAACCTCCTGGCAGAAGGTGGTTGAAGGCGGCCAGCTGGTTAGCTCCTGCCTGCTTGCGCCAGCGGGCACGACGGTTACTGAACCAGACCTGAAGGAGAGAGGATGTTGAGCCTGGCTCCCTGCTGAGCGCTGAGGCTCGGGTGGGGTGACTCCCTCAGCAGGCAGCTTCCAGCGGGTCAGAGTCTTCTTCAAAGAAGCAGAGCCCAGCATTGGGTGACCAGGATGGTGTGCGGGGAACTTCAGCAACAGGGTCCCCTCACCACTATCCAGGAGGGACTTTTAAAATGATCCCTGTTTTACAGGAAGCAAGTGACAGGCTGCAGGCTGAGGACAGGGTGAGGAGAGACATGGAGGAGTCTCTAGTCTTAGTTAGACACTCAGCTTAGTGCTCCTCCCATGGCAAGTGCTCCCACCCAGGGTCTCCAGTCCTTGCTTCAAAACTCCACCTCCTCCAGGAAGCCCTCCAAGAGGAGACCACACATATAGAACATCCTGAGTAAGGAGGGCCTTGGTACTCAGCTGTGCCAGCTTGGGGCTGAGAACCTGCCCTGTTCACATAGCCCAGGCCCTGCTAGAACAGGACCTGCACCGGTACATATGCACACGTATACACATGTGTACACATATGCGTGTGCACACACACATACACACACTGCTGCAAGGGGACCCTTTCCCCTTCTGGCTGGTAAGTCCTCCGACACCATCACCATCGTGCATCTAAGATGGGGCAGGTGAGCCTCCTGCCCCTTCAAGGGAGACCCCGTGTGTCCCTTCCTCATGGGGACCATTATTCTTTTTATCTGTTCCTGGCTGAGTAGCCCTCAGCCTCCTCTCAGCTTTGGGACATCTAGGACAGAGGCCCTGTACTCCCTGTGCCCTGCACGGTGAGCATTCCATAGGTGCTCAATAAATGCACATTGAATAAATGAATGCTGAATGAATGAAGGATGGAACCAAGGTGGTTCAGGTCTCTCTATGTGACTGTCCTGGAACTCCCTTGTAGACCAGGCTGGCCTTAAGGTCGTAGGACTCCTCCTGCCTCTGCCTCCTGAGTGCTGGGGTTAAAGGTCTGGGGATGAGGGAGGCCAAGTTACCAGCCTCCTGTTCACTGGGTTCTTCTCTATCCGTGCTTAGCTTCTATTTTAAGACAAGGTCTCATGTAGTCTAGGCTGGTTTTGAACTTGATATGTAGCCAAGGACGATGTTAAACTTCTGATCTTCCTTCCTCCACGGCTAAGTGCTGAGATTATAGGTATGTACCACCCAGTTTGTCACACTGGGGAATCAAACCAAGGGCTTTGTTCATGCTAGGCAGGCACTCTACCCACTGAACTACAGGCTCACCATCAGTCTCTGACAGCTTGTTGTTTTAAAATTAATTGTGCAACCCTAGAAGCCGGCGTTACCCTGGCCCTAACCCCAGACTTGCCCTTATGGTCTCCATTTTGCAGAAAGGACACTGGGGACAGGGAGGATATTTAGGGGCAGATTCCAACTCCATGCCAGTCTCCAAACAGTCCGCTTGCCCCCACACTGAGCTGACATATTGCAGGGTTAGGAGACCCTCAAGGCACAGACTCTTCAAAGCAAGGGCTAAGTCAACACGACAGCACCCAGGACCTTGAGTCTCTGCCCGGCTCCCCTGGCGAGAACCCCTCACCAGGACCCTAATCCACAGACACCGTGTTTCTGTTCAAACACTTCCATACACAGTGGTCTCTTTTCCTCAGTGGGTATTTACTATGCCAGTAGGACCTCAGAACCCAGAGGAGCCTTGGTGACCATTGAGCTCTTGGGACACACTGTGTTTCACCTGGAGTGAACTCAGCCGGTCAGTGGCCGGGATACAGGCTCTCTCCCTGGAGCCTCTTCCGGCAGACCTCTCTGTTGAACTTGAGAGGATGTCATATCAGCTCTTGTGGCACCTCCAGGGTCTCTGAGCCTCTGGGTGCTTCCAGACTCCTCTCATAGGACTAAGACTTCGGCTTTTGGGTCAGCCTCTGCCTGTTCTTAGAATTTTGTTTTTGTTTGTCCCTCTACTCTATCCTAGCTAGGGAGCCCACAGGCATGAGCCCAGTGGACAGGAAGCTGGTAGTCTTTCTGTGGTTTGCCGAGGCTTGGCCTCCCCCATTCCCAGACCCCTCCCTTCTTGGACCTTGCATAACACCTGTTCCTCCAGTCCCCTGAGCCAATGAAAGCACTGTCCTGACAGCCAGGAGATTTTCTAAGGAGCTGCCAGGCTCGGGATGGTGGGAAGGCAGGAGGCTGCCAGACTAGGCTGAGAGGAAGCCCAGAGGAATGCGCCCAGGACAACAGCTGCGAGGCTCAAGGAGAGAGAGGAGGCAGTCTGCAGCTCGGGTGTCATCAGGGGATGAGAAGAGTTAGCTGTCTGCTGTGCTTGCCCTCTTCCCCTCTAGGGTGGGAGAGTAGAAGGATATACACCAGCTCCTGGAGGGTTTATGGCCAGTTTCTTCTAGGACTTTCCTTAAGTTCTAATTCCAGATTCCAAGTCAGCTTCCTCCTCTCGGGCACAGAAAGGATGTAGGTTTCCACGCCAGCCAGGCCAAGCTGCTACCGTCTGTCTGTGTCCCATGGGTCACATCTCTGAATGCCAGCCTCTGTATCTGTGACTACGGCTGGCTTCAGTGGCCATCCCAACCTGAACACATGAGTCTGAGGCTCCATTATCTTCACCACTGAGCCTTGTAGCCATGGGGATGCTGAGGGGGTGGGGGGCACTCCTCAGGATGGCACAGTATGCTGCAGCCCTTCTATAGAGCCACCTCCTCTGTCCATAAAGGTGACAGCCCAGGAAAATGTTGTCATGCAAGCCCATTTGTCCAATCACTCTGCCCCACCCCATCTCCTCCGTAGCCTTCGCCCTGGTCCAGCCAGGTACAGAGATGAGTCTAGTCTGTGCCCTGCTGGAGCAGAGACTCCAGGGCCCAGCCCAGGGCGGATGAGATGGGCCACCTTCCCCCGTTGCCTTCCTGGATGAAGATCTGAACCTCAGCTTGGGCTCTTTCTCCGGTCACCAGAGCCACAGAATGGGGACTGTGGGCTTCAGGTGTGTAGGGTCTTGGGTGGCCCTGCCCAGTGCTGATGGTTCGAATCTCCCCAGAACACATCTTGCATTCTCCCGGCAATGGGAAACTCACTCTCTGACTGAGGAGATTTGGAGAGTCTGTGCCTGCCCTCTTCTCTGACTACTACCCCCTCCCCACCTCTACTTCTCTTTCTCACGCCTTCATGCATCTTTTCTCTCATCTCTCCCTGAATCCCTCCTCCCTTGGGGCTCTGCGCCTCTCTGTCAATCTGTAAGTCCATCAACCAACATGTGCTGCCCCCTCAGGGACTGCGTGTGTTAGTGTGTGCATGGTCCCAGGATCACACCTGGAGCGAGCACTCGTCTCAGGACCTGCTCACACGACACCTGCCATCCTCCACCCCCAGTTCTCCTCACCTGGACGCGCGCCTCCGTGAGCTTGGTCCTCTGTGCCAGCTCCTCCCGGGTGTAGATGTCCGGGTAGTGGGTCCTCTCGAAGGCCTTCTCCAGCTCCTCCAGCTGCTCGGCCGTGAACGTGGTCCGACTGCGACGCTGCTTGCGCTTCAGGGGGAGGTCGGGTTCTGATTCCACGTCCGAGCCCTCATCCAGACGGTTCCCTACAGTGGGGTAGCACAGTGGGCACAGGGTCAAGCCCGTGTCCTCCTCTGAACACTGGTCCAGTGTCTCCCTGAGAAAGAACACTGCTAACCACACCAGAGCTTAGCAACGGCTAAACACTTTCTGCTCAAAGTAACCCATTGCTTTTCAAGGCGGATCCCTCCAGCTGGGCATTTAGATTTATCTACAGTGACACAGATGCCCCTGACCTAAGCCTTGATGAATTACGTCTCTCAAAACTCAAAGGACAGGGGCCACAGAGATGGCTGGGGGCCCAGGGGGTACTTAAAGCTGCACAAACCTGCAGACCTGAGTTCAATTCCCTGGTAACCACACGAGAGACCCCACTCCAGCCAGTATGTGCCTGCGGTGGTATGTGCCCCTCCTCCACCGTCAATAAATGTAAAATAAAATTGTAAAAAGCCCTCAAAGGACTATAAGCTCCACGGCAGGAGGAGCGCTGGTGTGGGTTCACTGGAGGTCAGGAAGTCTGTCTCTACAAAGAGCAGGAAAGCAGAAGGTGGCCAGGAGCAGCTCTGCCTTTGACAAGGTAAAGGCTGGGGCGGGTCTCTTTCAGCAAGAGCCTGACAGGCAGGCTGGGCCCTGGGCTCGCTGGGGAGGAGGCTGCAGAAATAGCTTGATCAGTTGTCGTAGCTGCTGGGGCTAAGACCCAGGGAACAGAACCGGCCCATGTGGGCAGCACTGAGCCTTGCGCCCTTCTCTGACCTGGTGGAGAAGACCCCAGCAGGTGATCTTTACAGCAAGCCCAGCGGCCCTGGAGCAAGGAACAGGGCGGGGTGTGAGAGCTGGAGGGGGGTGAGAGAGGGACAGACAGCAGGGAGACAGACTACAGCAGCCCTCCCCTTCCTCTGCCTCCCCTCTCCTTCCTTCATTAATCTTTTCCTTCCCTTCACTGCCAACTTTGGGATTCTTGGGGCTTTTTTGTTCATTCATGCATTCATTCATTCATTCTTTCTTTCACTTATTCATTCATTCTTTCACTATTCATTCACTCACACATTTATTCATTCGCTCATTTTTTTCACTCATTAATTCATTCATTCACTCTTTCATTCATTCTTTCACTCACTCATTCATTCACTCATTCATTCATTCACTCATTCATTCACTCACTCATTCTTTCACTCATTCATCCATTTTTTTACTAATTCATTAATTTACTCATTCTTTCACTAATTCATTCACTTTTTCATTCATTCATTCACTCATTCATTCATTCACATATACATTCATTCATTTACCAAGCATCTATTCTCTTCCATTATAGGCCAATCACACAGTGGACAAGCTGGGACTCTGTGCCTAGAGCGCCCAGCCTGAGACAAGCTAGAGAAACTCAGAGGCTGTCTGCTCATACCACCTATGGAAAAATGACACCACAGAAAAGCAGTACACAGCCGGGCAGTGGTGGCACATGCTTTTAATCCCAGCACTTGGGAGGCAGAGGCAGGCAGGTTTCTGAGTCGAGGCCAGCCTGGTCTACAGAGTGAGTTCCAGGACAGCCAGGGCTACACAGAGAAACCCTGTCTCGAAACAAACAAAGAAAGAAACAAAGAAACAAAGAAAAGCAAGCAAACAAACAAACAAACAGAACGGCAGTACAAAAAGTGTCTGGGCAAGGATCCACGATGCACTCACCTGCCCTTTTACCTCTGACCTGCCCACTAGCACACACTCGGCTGCTTCAGGGATTGATTACGTCAGAGTCTAGGCCTTTCTCACAAAATCAACCACCATACTCCCACCCCACCCCACTCACAACACAGTGACAACAACAACAGCAGCAGCAGCAGCAGCAGCAACAACAACAGCATATAGCCATTTAAAAGTTGTCGGACTCAAGGGAAAAGTGTACCAGGCTGAGGGACCAGCATGTGCAAAGGCCCTCTGCATCAAAAGGCACAGAGGTCATCTTGCCACAGGGCTGCATCCAGGGCCAGGAGCAGGTGACATACAGGGAAAGGAAGAGTCTTGGCCAATACCCTGGCTTGGGCTGGATTCCCATTCATCTCCACCCCTCCCTGCACCACTGTATCTTGTTCACTGGGGACTCTGTATTTTGATGACCACGGCCAAGCTGTGTCTGACTGTGACACTAAGCTCCATGGCCAGAGAGTCAATGACCAGACACCTACGGTCAGAGCCAACCCCTTCCTGTTCTTTTCTCATCAGCTTGCCAGCTGCCCACCCACTCTAGATCCAGTGAGGGCATCAACCGTGGGCACACATGGCACCCTGGGGTTCCCTTGGCAGCATACCTGGGGCTCTGAGCCAAACACATCAGTGAGTGTCTCTGTGTTCTGATAGGGACCAAGAGAGTGGCTAGGTCAGGGGAGGGAGTACACAGGCAGGAGCAGGAACCAGGGACTATTCCGTCAAGTGACCCCAGACTCACCTCAGACGCTAGCTGGGAGAATGGGTATCAGAACTGTCCAGAACAAAACCATGGGCAGAGACCACCCTGCCGGCTAAGGGCTGAAACCCAAGGTGCTCTATCATGGCTGTGCCCCCTCCTTACCCCTTTCTCCCTGCTTTTCAGATTGCAACTTTCTGGACAGACTACTGACTTCTGGTTTGACTTCCTCCCTGGATTCCTGTCCCTTGTCCTTTGGGAGCAGGGATCTGTGGAGCTCTGTGGATCTGGAGGCACCAAACCAAAGCCCAAACTGAGGACAGCAAAGCAGGGTCCACAGGCCCTTACTGTTTGAAAGAAATGGTCCCCTGGGGTAAAGCATTGTGGGGAAAGTAGACACAGAAAATCATTCATTAAACAATCATCAGATTTGGGGTGGGCATCAGGGAGCAACTCCTGGCCAGCTCTGACCCCTGCCTTCCTACTTCCCCACAGCTGGGGGATGCAACAGTCTCATGGAGCAACTGCAGATCTGGAGATGGCTCTAGACACGATGAGACACTCAGGAGCCCTCTCTGGGTTCCTGAATCCTGTCTCTGCTTAGAGGAATGGCAGACCCACACCAAGCAAGGAAGAACCGTCTCTAAGTTGGAGCCTCCAATCTTACAGAGAGAGAAACAGTCTGTCTCAGAAAGCTTCCAGTCTAATGGAGGAGTCATCACTCCTGTGCTGGGACTTCCTAGTCTAAGGGGGGAAGCACCAGTGAATGGGTGCACAGAACAGACAGACATCAGACATCAAGGCTGTTACATAGCCTAGCCCAGGCTTACAGGGGGAGGGGGAGACACAGGGAATAGGAAGTCTCTAGGGGTTGTTCCTATAACATCCTCCTGCTTCTGCATTCTTCGGGGTCTTTTTCTCGATTTCATTTCATCCATTCCAGGAAGCCATCACTGAGTGCTGGGCTATGCTAAGATGTCTCGGTAAACCAGTGAGACTGGTAACCATCTGCCCTTCTTGTGTGCAGATCCATTTCCTGTAAGAATGCGCAGAGCCACCTCCTGCCTCTGCCTCTAGCCATGCCCCTGCAGTGGGATGAAACCTGCTTATCCAGCACAGCCCCAGCAAGGCTCCCCAAGCCAGGTCAGGGACATTGGAGCGTCTTAGGTCTCGCACATCAGAAAACAGGGATGACGGGCTGGGAGATGGCTCAGGAGGCAACGTGCTCCCTGCGAAAGTGTGAGGAGCTGAGTTCAATCCCCAGCTCCCGTGGAAAGAGCCAGTGGAGGTGTGAGCACCTGTAATCTCACCTGTAATCTCAGCACGGGGGACGCAGAAACCAGTGGATCCCTAGAGGTCACTTAATTGTGTGAACCCTAGGTTCTAATAAGAACCTGTCTCAAATAACACCCAAGACTGACCTCTGGTCCTACACATATCTCCCAACCTCCACTGTACACACACACACACAGTCTCAGGAGACAATGGTCGTGTCTGTGGATGGGTCTATTCATCTTGCTAGGCCGGCACATCCTTGACTGGGATACAGACGGTGCCTGGCACACAGCAGGTATTTAGGGTGTCGGCACCGATCCTCGCAGCCTGGGGAGTGGTCTTGAGTGCCCATCTCCACCCTTGGAGGGGGCAGACCCTTCACACTGCCAACAGGAAACCATTGTTTCCACTGGTTGGAATGCCAGAAGGCAGAGGTTGGCCCATTTGACAGGCACCCAGTGGAGCGCTTCAGCAAGGAGCTGCAAGGAAAGCCAAGAACCCTGGCTCCACAGCTGGTGTAGACACCTGACATGGCAGCTGCTTTGAGAAGCCAACCTGGGATCTTGGCACCACAGTGGCTGCTTCACCCTCCCCCCACAGCCTTCCCCTCTCCTTTTGGCTGCAGAAATCCCATGGGTAGAGATGGTTTTTGAAGGTGCCAAGGCCTCCCAAGGCCTCCTCACCTCCGGGCAGTGGAAGCCAACACTAGCCAAGAGGCATAGGGTGTCTCTGCACCCCATCCCCGAAGCCCGCCAAGCTCTGCTCCCTGCACCCCTCTCCCTCCCCTCCCTTCCCAGTTATTACAGTTTAACATAGGCCCTGGCGTGGAGCTGTGCTGGAGAAACGAATCACATAATAGTTGATATGCGTTTTAATCAAGTAATTCGGGCAGAGTCAAGAGCCGGTGAGTATGGGCCCGGTGTCCCTGAATACCAAGCAGGCCTGGGCGCAGGCCTCAGCAAATGGAAAAGTCATTTACAGCTCAGCTGGGGGCCGCCAGCCTAGTAGTGGCAGACGCTCTCCCATCCTTTCCTCTCCTCTGTGCAAAGGGCTCAGCTGTAACCAGCTCACCAGGTGTGCGAGGGCTAGGCTGGTCTGCAGGAACCGGCCCATGCATGATTCCCATAGCCATGGGGACTCCTGCCAGGAGACAGAACACCCCACCCCTGCCTGTCTCTAGAACTCATATTCCTCTTGGACACTCAGCCAGCATCATGCAACTCTGCCTCAGGCCCCAGCCCCTCTGTCTTGCCCAAGTCTGACCTCTCTGTCCCACCCTGGACTGTCCCTCACACTTCCCTGGCCCTAGTGACAAGGACTCAGTGACTCAGTCAGACACCCTGACTCATG